AGACACCACTGCTTTGCACATGGGTGCCTTGCCCAAGCCAGGGCTACAAGAACCGCATTGTTAGCATTGTATAATAATTAAATAAGGTACCTCTGCAAATGAATTATAGTTATTTTTTTTTTTCTTATTTTAATTTATTTCTTCCGTAAGTGTACTTTCTATCACATATAATTCCACTGTCTTAGTTAGGCCTAGGCCTAGTCTTATGCCTCATCGTCCCCGCTACACAGTACATCAGCAGCCCCTCCCCATACAGTACAGACGTTTGCTAGGTAACAACATGGTTGCACCTTCCTTCTCAGGTGTTCATGTAACATTGACATAATTGTTAGCTAACCAGTTGTGTGTATTCTTTGTGAAAATGAGTACCGCAGTGTACTCATTTTCACAAAGCATTTGCATCCCCTCTTTGAAAGAGGGATTCGAAATAATTGTCTCCATATCTTCGCTAATTAAATTAATCACCGTAATTTAGCTTACACTTATGAATTTTGGGAGCACTTAAAATGTGAAATAATCATTTCACTACCCAACTCCGAACTTTATTCATTCATTAGGCCTACATAATGGTTTCATATTGCTGTACTATATACTCCAACATCACTGGCGCATGGTAACAACCAACTGACAGCGGACCATTTCCGGTCACACATTACTCTCCATAACACAGCACCCCCTAGTTCTGTCACCTCTGGGTCTAGTCAATGTATCAGGCATCTCAGGTGAAAAACAACAAGCTGTTTTTGCCATTGTACCGTAGTGTACCAGTGCTGTCTCCATATTTCACTGTCTACCTGTTAAGAATGATATATCAGCATATTTAATACATTGGCATTTCATTTAGACTACAGTATATACTCCAACATCACTGGCGCATGGTAACAACCAACTGACAGCGGACCATTTCCGGTCACGCATTACTCTCCATAACACAGCACCCCCTAGTTCTGTCACCTCTGGGTCTAGTCAATGTATCAGGCATCTCAGGTGAAAAACAACAAGCTGTTTTTGCCATTGTACAGTAGTGTACCAGTGCTGTCTCCATATTTCACTGTCTACCTGTTAAGAATGATATATCAGCATATTTAATACATTGGCATTTCATTTAGTATGATTGGAGACTGTGTCCATTGCGTGCATCGGCAGAATTGCGTACAGTACAATAATGCTAATTATACCTTATAGCAATTTAAACAAGATTTGTTTGTGTTCATGTGATAATACATGGTAACTGGATATTAGATATTGATTTTATATCTACAATATAATAGATTACATAGTGTTTGAAAGCAGTGGTTATTGTTACAACAGTCATAAAACAGTCATAATTGGATGTTATTGTATTGATTGGATTTAGGACTTGATAAACAACCAATCAGGATTAGAATTGGTTTTAAGACAATTGAGTTGCTTCAACAGTCATTTGAAATGCATCGACAATTAATATTTATGAATCTATCTTTTTACTTCTCTTATTTGCCGCCAATTTTGATAAATAATTCAGCTTACTGTAGCATAAAATATTTTTCAATAAAACTATGTTATCTTAATAAGACAGCAATATTTAAATTGTTAATTTTCATGGTTATGACATTTTCCATCCCTCATGATTTTAATAATTTAATTATACTGTCTGTGTTTATGCTTAGAAACCTTTTAAAATATCCATATTGATCTTTATAATTGAAAATTGTAATGAAAAATTTCCTCGGTACAGTAGGCCTATATAAAGCCATAAACTCACTGCTCTCGAATGTCATCGGCCGACACGATTATATGAAGAGCGCAGCACGACGACGACGTGCACAAAGCATCGTTTTTAATGATGATACGTTCAGAAGACCACCTATACTGCATCGCACCGAGTGGCTAGCTTTACACCGTCTATAGTTTCTTAAACTGGAACAGGTATCCAGTCATCTGCAACATGTGACTGAGTGTCACTTGCTTAATGTATGTGACAGTCACCTATTACTATTACTAAACAATTAACAACAAAAACAGCATCTGCTTCCTTCGACAGCCACTTGCATAGTTAACAGTCACCTGCTATCGGTGACAGTCACCTGTATAGTTGACTGTCGCCTACTACCTGGGACAGTCACGCAGTTTACAATAACAGTCTCTTGCTACCTTTAACAGTCACCTGCTACATGTGACAGTCACCTGTACAGTTAACATTAAGTCTCCTGCTACCTTTAACAGTCACCTATGACTCACCTGTACAATAGTCACCTGACCTACATTATGTGATAGTAACCTGCTATCTGTGTGATAGTAACCTGCTATGTGTAACAGTCACCTGTACAGTTGACAGTCACTCGCTACCTTTTACAGTTGCCTGTACAGTTAATATGACAGTTACATGTGACAGTCGCCTGCACAGTTAACAGTACCAGCTACTTGTGGCAGTAACCTGCTACCTATACAAACTGCTTTGTCACCTACTGTGTATCAGGTAAAAGTCATCTGTTAAATTGTGGCCGTCACAATCAACAGGTAATCAGTCATCTGTTCTACTAACTGTACATTTGACAGTCACCTGCTACATGTTTGACAGTCACCCACTTGTGACAATTTCCTGCTATGTAACAGTTACCTGCAATGGGTGACAGTCTCCTGCAATAGGTGGCATTCACCTATGATATGTATGCAAAAGTCACCTGCAGCATGTGACAGTCACCTGTAATAGTCTCCTGTAACAGAAAAAGTCAACTGCAGTATTTGACAGCTGACGACCACATGCATACAGCTGATTGAAAGGTTATTTCTGTTTGTTATTTTAAGGTCTTTAATAACCAAATTTGCTAGTTACTGTATGTTTGCATACATTTTTATTTTAACCATGTACAGTATTTATTTGACAAAATACAGTCTGTAAATACCGTAGTTTGATTTTTCAAGCTCTCGAAACAGTGTAGCAACGTTATTACCTATCAGATGATGCTATTTATGTTAAATACACCACACTAAGTGGAAGCCTATAGTTAAGTGAAGATTACACAGTGTATTGCATAGTGAAATCCGCCATATTCATTTATTATTGTAAAGCGTTGCGAGTCCTAGTTTCGTTCATATTACAGTTGAGAGTCATTTGCAATCACTTATTAGCAGCGTTGGATTTGCATCATCTCTTTTTTTTTAAATCCCGGTGTTAGCGTAACAAGGTTGCAACAAATTGTATTAGAAATTGGGATTTTCTTGTCATTTTTGTACGGTAGTTTTATTTTTTGTTATTGATAGTAGTAGTTTAGTAATTTCAGACTCTATAACCTTAAATATTTTCAAGGCTAAAGTCAGCAGTATTATTTTTATTTCCAAAAAAAAGTAATACCTTTCACCTTTTTTTTTTAAAGAAAGAATTAAAAATAAATAAAACAAAAAAAAAAACATTTTTTTTAAAAACCAAGCTATTGATTTTATAAAAGATAAGGGAGAGAGAAATGATAAGACATCTGCAAGCAGTGATGCATACCTTTTAACGTTAACGTTGTGCGAACATACTCTATAAATAGAGGTTAAGTAGAGATTTTGAAGATGATGATGAGTTTCTGAATATTACTTAAGGCGAAAAAATGTTATTAGCCAAGCTCACCAACAGTTGAAAATTTGTGTCAGGTTAGTTTTTTTGCTATACTTTAAAGTCTAGGCATAATTTTTAAGTTTATGGCTGTGCTTGTGCATTATAGCTTGTGAAATGGTAATGATTGGCCTAAAATCTGTGGTGAAGGTTGTTTTTTTAATGATCAAAACTTTAAAAAATGTGGTGTTTTAAATTACATGAAATTATCTTAAGAAGAATACATGAAAATATCTAAATTTTGGGTTGGGCAGTCTTTGACAACATGAAATAACAAAGCACCGTTTTATATAAGTGTACTTAAACAATACATATATTTGCCGGCTAATCACTAATGTGGAAAGCGACATAAACACTCTGGAAAAGTAGCTACTTTGTCGCTTTAGTTCTGATGATGCAATCGTGGGCGGAGGTTGACATGAGTGCTGCTGGCAGGCAGTTGAGCCGACTAACGAGGATGACATAACCTAAGCTTTATCCCACAATCATCATTAGACAGTCTGTGCGTTTACAATGAAAGCATCAACGAAAGCAAAGCCTATCAGCAATGTTCCATCCCGGCTTGCTAAATATTATTTATTACATTGAACTTATCTCACTCCAGGTATTATTAAGTATTAAAGACTTGCTAGAATTTTTTGTATGCAGACATACAGGTTCATATTCAGATTCTTGTATTGATTAAAAAAATAAAATAGTATTACATCAATCGATTAAAGACAAAACAAAACAACTACAACACCTGTTGTTATTAATTATCGTGAATATTAGATATCCCTTTCATGGCAAAAATACAAGAAACAAATTTAAAAAAAAATTGCATAGTCTTGTCCCAGTGTGGGGAAATTCATATGGGAAAAAGTGTCAGAAAAGTGTACAAAAAGTTCTCTCAGTCTTTCTTCCCTCCCAACCCCAACTGGAAATTTTTAAAGCAAAAAATTTACACTAAGTTAGATTAAAATAACTTTATACCACCTTATATTTTGCCAGTTAGGGCTCCCTCACTTTGTTGTCATGCCCTTCACCTTCGCACCCCCATCAGTTGAGATCTCCCCTGTTCAGCGCACACGCAGTGGCTACCACCAGTTTAGCCGACAGATCTATAAAGCTGCTCTATGACTTATATTAAATTGTTTTTATACAATAGTTTTATGTTGACCTGATTAATCTTACAGTATTGTAATCATGTTAATTATTATCTTTATTATTGGTTGTTTTCTTAGTTTATTACTGTATATCACTTTAAAACATTGTTATCGTTTAACTAACTTTTATTAAATAATTTTTGTCATCATGATTGTCATCATGTTAATTGTTTTAATTATCTTTATTATTGGTTGTTTTCTTTGTTATATTATATCACTTTAAAACATTATTGTTATCTTTTAACTAACTTTTATTAAATGATTTTTCATATCAGACTGGTCCGAAAGGGGTGATAGCAGACTGGAGGAGGTATAAGCAACTAGAGAATGAAAAACGGGAACAACAAGAAGCAGAGAGGAAAGCCTTACATAAAAAACTTGCATTAACATGTCGGTCTCATGTAAGTTAATAAATTAAGTGTGTGCATAACAAGTGTATTTGATGGCCCACGTGCAATTTTGATTGAACACGAAGCAGTTACATAAACATATTATTTTGTAGTAATAACTTGATTAGTACATGCTAAATGTTGTGTAGACATTCCTTATTTGGTCACTTATTATTTTACACTTAATTGACTTAAGTATACATTTTGAGGTTTCATGGTCACTTTATATTATATTCTACTGTATTTACAGTATAATAGAAAAAGTACATTACACTACGCCTTTTATATCAGCGACAGTCACTGAAGAAGTGAAGCTTTCTGCTTACATACTGTATACTGAATATGTTTGTGTGCTACCTTCCCATTGTACTCTACTACATAATTTGAATAATGAATTCTCACATGTTGCTTTTGTAGCGCTACAAGTCCTCGTACAGTATTTTGTAGATTCCATTTGTTGGTGTAAAATTGTTATTTTTACATTGACATACATACAGTAGGAGATAAAAAAATGCCCTTAATGGAAAGACAACTAAAAGGATGGTGGTACAATTTGGTTCTGCTATGTTTTGTGAAGTCGTTGATAAATCGTAACAAAAATTTTGCCCGTCTTCAAATAATAATTCAGAAATAATTTTTCTGAAATGATAGTTGGACTATTAAATAAAATACATGATAAAATAGATTTGAATATTGTGCCTCACAAAAATATTGAATTGAAAACAAAAATTCTTTATTTATGATTGTTAATTAAAATTTAATGTATCTTATACAAGAAATACCTTTGATCAGTGTATGTATAAAAGCAGTTGGCGCATTGGTTGTGGCTTGGATGACTCCCAACCTTGAGGTCAGGGGTTCAAAACGCTTGCTGTGCAAGTCGCTGGTGTCCTTGGGCAAGGCACTTTTTCTACATTTGTCTCGATGTACCCACGCGTCTAAGTGGGTAGGATGTTGAGGCATTGAAGGTTGCACTTTGTCCTGGTTTACCATTGTAAGTTATCCATTGGCAATAGATACTGTGCCTTTGATCATTCGTTGAAATTGGCGCTATATAAATATTTGGGTATTATTTTTATTAAAATTAATTATTATTTATTAACAAATGCTTTACAGTACTTAGTCATTAAAGGAAGATTAAGTCTCTACCGTACACTGGGAGTCGGTCTCCATGGACTGCGTACACGACAGCGTTGATCTAATAAATTGGTCTGTGAATGATTAATTGCATTCGTTGTCAGATTAACATTTATATTGAAAAGTTTCATTAATAATGAGTAGCATACAAAGCATTTAGGAAATAATGTCCGCACTGTCATATTTTCTTCCATATATAGTCATGATTTGCCTATGTATGGTCATGATGTGATGTCATCATGACCATATATAGGCATGCCATATTTTTTTGTCAAATAAAATTTGATGGTCAGACATTGCTTATGCTTGGAATCTATAGAAATACTCCAGTTTATTTTTTGTTAAATATATTGTAGCTTAATGTTATTATTTCCAAATGTATTTATTTTAATAATCATAAAATAATTCTTGTAAAACCCAGCCCATGTTAAATTTTATTTGAAAAAATAAATTTTACATGCCTAAATATGGTAATGATGACATCACATCATGACCATATATAGCCACATCATCACTATATATGGGCATACAACAGTTTTTGTCTAAGTAAATTTGATAGTCTGAATACCATTTTGCCACTCTAAACCACAATAATCCCTTTAATTGGATTTAATTTATTTGTGTAAAAGATAAGGAAAAGGGGGTGATGTGACGGTATATCGGGAGACAATCCCCTACCATTTACCTCCGATGAGTACTGTATACTGCGTCATACTCAATGGACCATATTGTTGTTTTTTTTTTATTATTTATGTATTTGCTCTTTATTCTAGGTTACCTCTTCAGTAAAATGTTCTCCCTGAGTCCCAGATAACGCTAGAAGGAACCAATGGCTTGACCATCTCGTATGAGTGACATTGCACTTTTTTTTTATTGCATTTTAACCCGTGAGAGCAGCGATATGAATAGAACCGGTGACCAATAAATCTCCACGGTTCAGCGCACACACACACAGTGGCTACCGCCAGTTTACCAACTGAGCTACAGTATCTACATTTGATACATGTTGAACTCTCAGTTTGTGTCATCAAAGTTTATTTAAAAACTCAAAATTCATATGTACTGTATAGTAAATTAAACTTATAGTTATCAAAGTGGCCATACTGTATATGGTTGGCGATTAAGTTGTGATGTCATCACTTTTTAGAAATCAATCCATAGATTTCGATGCTATAGAAAATTTGATAGACACAATGTTCTACAACTACGAAGTTCCACAACTGATCTGGAGCTACAATGGTCTAAAAGTCATAAAATGCGAAGTGTGTTGCTTTTGAAATAGGTAGTATTCAGTAAATGTTGTTTCCTTTTTCATTTTAGTGGGTGTTAAAGCAAAAATATCGAAGTTCTAGAATGTAATGTGTCTAATGACAAACATGGGATGGGATGAGTTTGAAGGTGGGATTGTTCTGTATTATTCAACACCAGGAAATACAAGAACCCCCAAAGAAATCATAAATCTTGTTAAAAGACGGAAGTTCGAAGTGTCACTTATTTTAGGGCACTATGATAGAAAGCATGTTGCATTTCAGACTTAGCGTTTTTAAAAAGGACGTACAATTCAATGTGAGAGTTCAAAGATTCATAATTACAGTGATTGAGATCTTTTTTACTGCTGAGGAATTGTTGTGCTGCTTGTTGTTATCATAGTCTTTGCATAATTGATGAAATTCGTATCCAAATTGGTCTTTTTCAGAATTTCAAGTGTTATTTTAGCACAAAATTTTATAAAAAATATATTAGATGATCTATTTTTCATAGTATCGCATATGTTGGTATTTTTCATAAATTCAATTAGTTAACTTTATAACCAACTTTAAATCAACTTTCCATACAGTATGCTTCTTAATATAGTATTTAAAAAAAAAATATTTTTGAAAATATTTTAATTTCTAAAATTAAATTTATTGTTTTTCACATAAAATAAAGTTAATTTAGCCCTAAATTATAAAATAGATTAGAAATTAAAAAGGCAATTTAGTAAAATGAATAAATAAAAATGTATATTTTGGCGAAGACAAGCCAAACCTGTCACTCCTCGGAAATCGTGTATCTGAGATGATGGCCAAAACATGTTGAAATGTCAGAATTTTTGAAATTTATTTCATTACACTAAGCTAACCTTTATCTACTGTGTACATCATGCTATGTTCCTTTTTCCCGGTTTTTGACATTAAAACAATATTTTTCAACGATTTGGTGGTGGTCTCAGCCTTAACCCAAAATCTTTTAATTGAAGGCTAATTTCTCAAAACAGGATGTTTAAACTTCTGTAACTTTACAACAAAGTGTTGGATTTAAATTATTCTTTCACCATTATATAAGATTCAGGCCAAGTGTTTGTGTCATTCCCTGATGGAGCTTCTTCTGAAATACATCACATGACATTAATTGAGTACCGTAGATACAGTTAGTATGTTGGTATAACCTTTTTAAACATAATATTTTTACTGGATGTGAGTAGCTTGATTTGTTTGTATTAAAAAAGTAACTCAATTTGTTCAATATTTTGTTCTTTTTTTAAGCACTTTCAGTCTTTGTATTCTTAAAATTATTTTCTTATAAAAAACAAAATGGATGTTTATATGTGTAGATGTATTTACATTATCTTGTATTTGTACAGCTACAGTTTAGTTCTCTGTGTAAAATTGTACCATTTATGATTAACAATGTGCCTTTGTCAGGCCTATTGCTAATCTTTCAAGGCCTAACAGTTTAAAAGGCAATATGTACAGTATACTGTAGTATGCTCCTTTAATTTTGTATATCCTCACCATAATATGGTAGCCATTCTATTAGTTGGTATCTGAAGCTAATTTCCAGGAAGCTAGGCCCCGAGTCAGCCTATAATATACTGTATATAGTATTGTAGGCCAGACAAATTTAGTGATGAAATAGAAATTAATATACCGTATTCAAGAATAATTCAATGTTGTGGCATATTGACGTAACATTTTAGGCTTTCCCAATCTAGAAGACAAGTGACTTCTGTAGCACCAGAGGGCTTTAGTCCCCTGACATTACAGTTGGAAGTCAGATGCAACTGTTGCAACAGCTGCCTTTAAAGGTCTTCTTCTCGAGTCACTACGTACAATAGCTAATGAATATGATCTTGCTAATAGGTACATACTGTAGTGTGGTATTAAAAAGGATTTGCACATGGATACCTGACATGGGCCACGACGTAAACACTCCTTCTGTGACCGAAATGAAAATCCAAAGGTGACCTGATAGTATACAAATACAACATGAATTGAGGTTAAAAGTAGTGAATTCAAATTTGGGATTAATCAATTAAATAATAATCAGCTGACTGTTTGTAGAGCTCCTCATGAGGGCAGTATAATAGAGGCAGTAGATCTAAAAGAGATCTATTAATCAAAGATGTCCAAAAATGAAGGAAATACAGAAGAATACTAAAATAAATCCATGTTGTGTTTGTTACTTATACCTCATAATTATTAAACTGCAAACCGTATGTCATTTCGTTCTGTAAGGGTTAAATTACCCAGTTTGCATACGGTTTACGTAGGCAGGGGTGCGGTAATCGGTTTTGAGTGATACTTTTTTTCCCCGCGTACACCTTGCCAATGGGCAGGAAAGTACAGTTAAAACTAGTAGAAACTGCTGTACTGCATCCCTTACATGGTGGAATTGACCAATGGAATGCTGTTATTGACTAATGATTATTTTTTAGGTAATGTATAATTTCAAATAAAATATTGGTCACACTTACAGAGAATAGGCTATTACAGTATTAACCATCTAACAGCTTGCTTTAACCATGGAAGAAAGTTTAACAGAAAGAATTACTTTTTTTCTTTTAAAGGAGACTTTTTTTTTCTGAAAAAAATCTGTTTACTGAATGCTGATATAGAATCATCTTCTAAATGAAGTATCATCTTCTCTCCCAAGGACAATGTAAACTTCACCTTTAATATTGGAACTATTGAAAATGGTTCATGTTTCAGTTATCAAAAAACTCAAGTGTTCTTGTGGATAGTTCCTGCCTTCCTGATAATATAGAGTGCAATATTTAAATCAAATGTTTTGGAATATCTTCAATTTCACCCTTTTGGCACAAAATAATTGCAAAGTTTTCTGTTTCCTATATATTCATAGCCAAAGTGCAATCCTTTTTATACGCACTTCCGCAAGCCTCTAACCAACATTTACCAAAGAAGAGGTTGTAGGCATAGGGTTCAGACGGCTCCAGGGCCTCGAGTTTTAAATGAAAGTAATGATATCTTGGCAAGTTTTAATGTGATGAAAGAGTATGGTCTAGTTTAAAATGCTATAGCTTTTGCTGAACTGGGATTTACCGGAAACCCTAAAAACCTCTCTGGCTACAGGCCAATTACTGTGTACTGTGTATTGTGTATCCTTCATGATACAATTTTTTGCACACAGATTGCTAAAGAACTGAAACAAGTAACCAGACTCATAGAACACTTGGACTACTGATTTATCATTTGGAAGCCTGCATGCATACTACCATGCCAATTCCATTTATTTCTAATAAAATAAGTAAAGCCTCATTTACACTAAACATGATTACGACACAACATGATACAGGTTTAAGATAGCAGGCAGTAGTAACTATAGATTCGGGACAATTGGTGATCTCTGTGATGGTGTTTTTTTTTTTTTGTTTTTTTTTTTGATCCACAAGAATTCTCTGGTTGTTCCTTTCCTTTGTTGTTTTCTTTTGCAAAATATAGGATGATTTCCAGTCGCACACATTGTTGTAGTTGTTCGGTGGTCTGTTATTGTTGGCTCTTATGTACAATATTTTGAGATCGGTCTTTTCTGCTTTCACGGCATCATACAATACAGCCCAACGCAGTTTGTTATTGCGTTGGATCTGCGTATTTAAATGTAGATCCAACCCAACAACAAATCATTTCGCGTCTGCATTTAACTACACAGACGCGGTAAGTCGGCATTGGAACAGTCACGCACTGGAGACTGTCCTCAACAATAAATCGCTTCTTCATGATAATTAGATTGGAAGTTAAGGACATAAATACAATTTGTGAAGAGGCTATATTGAAAAAACTAGAATCAATTAGAAGAGACCTACTCATCCATTATATAAGCACATCGCATACTAGGTCTGGTTGGATGACAACTCAAAAGATAAAAACAGACATAAAGGTCCTTTTCTGCTAAGTGCAATACGGCTATTTAATAATAGGTTTTCTAGACACACTGTAAATACCTAGTTTAATATAAGTCAAGCACTTTTGACGTTTTTCTTGTATTTCTATATTTCTATATTTATTTGTTTTACCAATGTAACTAAACCTATACCCAGAAAATAATTTCATATTGCTTTTATATGCCGAATAAAATGAATCTTGAATCTTCAGGCTGAATCGTACGACTCTGGCTGAGTTGTCCTTTATGTATGTTTATACAATAATTTTTTTGTATTGTTTTTTTTTAGCTTGACGAGGAAGAGTCGAAGAAGAAAGAGGCAGAACATGGCGTTGTTTTGGATGATGAATTCTTAAGGAAGTACCGAGAGGAGAGGTTAAGGGAAATGAGGATAGCATCACAACATTCGTAAGCAGTTCTATAAAAAAAATAAGATACACTAAGATATTGTCATGACCACGATCCAAGGCGAACATGAAAAATATGGTTTGCTTGATGCTTATCTACACAAATATAACAGTATGAAATAAATATTAAACAAAGATTATGCACTTAAAAATATATACATGAAAAAAAACTTTCATTGCTATACACAAACTATCTCTGATATATTGAATTGTAAACATGAGTTGAGACTTTATGAACAAAAGATTGCTTGCATTATGTTTTATTGCATTTCAATAAATTATTAAAAAAACGATACTATTAAAATAAATATATATTTTTTTAAATGTTATTATTTTTTTTATAGACCCAAGGCCAAAGATATTATTGTTAGGAGATAAATTTTGCCATTTTTATATGTCATTTGTTGTCTTAACACTGATCTCTACTATAATAGCTGGATTGCTCATTGGCTGTTTTTAGTGACGTCACCCGTGCCATTTCCAAATAATAAAGTGACATTTCTTAATGTTAAAAATAGAGTTTCTTGCAATACATATCAATAAAAAATTTAAATTTTATGAAATGTTTTCATTTCCACATCCTCTAATCACTGACGCGCCTGTTTGTGCAGTTTTAAAAAGCACAAGCGAAGTTGCGTTGTTATTAATCGATGTCACTATAACCATGTGACTTCACTCGCACTTTTGTAAACTACATTAAACATGCTTGTCGAGTAGTTAGATGATTTGAAAAAAATCCTTATGTTAAATTTATATTTATTATTGAAAATATTGCAAGAATTGCTATTTTTAAATAATGATTTTTAGCAAATGGCAAAAGAAACTTGTCTAAACTAGTACGTCACTTGGCCTCCTTAACATAGCGCCGGTGGCTTCATTTGTTTCTGTACAATGATTGGCCGATGAGCAATCCAGCTATTATAGTAGAGATCAGTGAATCTTGCATGTCTTTTGATTCAGTTATTTCTGACAACATTCACCATAGTTCTTCAGGGCTGTAAAAAGTTGTTTTCGGGACTTGAGTATTTTAGGGCTGGGCTAGCAAAAAATACATTAAAACCAAACCAATATTCAATAGCTGATATATAAGGGCTAGCAGTAATTTCAGCAAAACTAGACCTTGGTCCAGCAAAAAAAAAAATTGACTTCTACAGCCCTAGTTCTTGTCATGTTGAAAAATTGTTTTAGTCTAATAGAACAAACGCTTTGTATTGTTTATGGAAGTAGGAGTTTATTAGCCTCATGAAGGCAGTATAGTAGAGGCAGTAGATCTAAAAGAGATCTATTAATCAATTAAATAATAATCAGCCGACTGTTTGTAGAGCTCCTCATGAGGGCAGTATAATAGAGGCAGTAGAGCTAAAAAGGATCTATTAATCAATCAACTATTAATCAATCAGCCTCATGAGGGCAGTATAACAGAGGCAGTAGAGCTAAAAAAATATAAAAAATATATAATAAAATGCACGCCACGCATGCCATGCAACGTAACGTAATGTAAAGTGTTTTGAACAGCAGTTCCTTCACAAGATGGTCTACTTGTACTTAGTCTCAATATGAGTCTTAAGGAGTGGAGTTGTTTTTTAGCGTAAAAAAAAACAAAAAAAAAAACCTGTTACCATGACAGGAAATGAACCAGGGCCTTGGTACTAAAAGGCAAGCATCATAAATCTCCAAGCTATATCTCCATTCTTGTAGCATATTTGTAGAGTTTATTTTTTTAACTGATTTTATACACCCACCTGGCAAGATTTTCTGGTCATGAGAATTGACTAAATCGGCGTATTAAAATTTAACTTGTAGTCAGAGACATTAAGTAATCCTACTGTAGATATGAATATGTTAGACTTCATGTAGATGGAATAGAATCCTATGCAATTCCTCATTAATAAGGTCTTATGCTTTACTTTAATCTTCGTAACCTTTTATTGATCTTATGACCTTGGGAAAAACAGCTATTAAATTCTCCCTGTGATAAAAGCTTTCAGACATATAACCTTCATCAGATCATAGAAAATTTTGCATGAAGTAAGAAAGCTTTAAACAAATTAAGAAATTATAATTATATTTTAACACAAACCCATAAACCAAAAGATGTTCTGTATGAGGCAATGAAGTTACATAATTAAGGAAAAGTATTTATTTATTTTTAATATAATTTAATATTTAATTTAATTTTATATAATTTATTATATGACAAACACGATATTAAAAATGACCTAGGAATTTATGTGACTACCTTTTTTTTAAACTACCAGATTAAAAATTGTCCACTTTTATTAAATTTTTTAAAAGTATTTTAACTCATTATTTATGATAATTGTTGCACCAATCATTGTATACAGTATTGCACCAATCTTCAAACTCCTGTTGCAGAAAGTCAGTTTACAGTAAATGCCAGAATTAAATTATCCCCTCACCCTTCCCTATCATCACTACCCTGGAAATGGTTTAGGTTCTAACACAACCCCATTCAATGTGGCCCAAAGATATTACGCCATGTGACCTCTAACATTTTGATGACTAACGTTCAATTTGTTGTTTTATGTCCTTTCATTCTTTGTTCCTATGAATGATCATTTCCTAAACACTTTACAACAAATATTTTGACAAGATTTTGAGATGAGGCATTTGTCTCTGACATTTCCCTTGACATTTTCACTATCCCATCATTCCTACCAATTTCTTCATGTAGCTTAAGATTGAAATTATGGTTAATTATTTATAATGTAAGCTGTGCAGTTGTTCATGCTGGGTCGCTCAGTGTTAACCTCAAACGGCCTTCATAAGCGTACAATAGGTGAAATTTCCTAATGGCACATCAATCAACCAATGATTTAATGTTCAATCTTGTTTCTATTAAAACAAAATCAAATTTATATGAATATAATCAACTCTTATATTGAACACATAAATTGATTAATTGATTGATTATTTTCTTGATTATAATTTAATAAGATTTTAACTAATTAAATAAATAATGGGGAATTGACAATTTTATTGCAACAGGTCAATTCATATAATATGAAATGACACTGCGGAAGGAGGGGCACACGTATATAATTGCTATTGTTGTGCAGGTTATTATATACAGTATAATAATAAAATAATTAGATGCTATCGAGACAATTATTGTTGCAAAAAACTAATAATAATAATAATAACAATAATAATAATTAAAAGTGTAGTTTCATATAGCACCGTATCCATCTAATATAAGATGGTCAGTGTGCTGATATGTGAACTAGGAACTCGATCAATGACTAGAAACAAGAATCAATATTAAGATTTCAAATGCCCACTTTTTGTATCTTCTTATTGTCAAAATGTTGCTAAATAATTTAACACAAAATTCAGGTATTACTGACAGAAATTTCTAACCTAAATACAGGATTCATTAATGTATTGTCCCTTTAAAATGACAAAAAAATCATTAAAAAAATAATTTTTAAATTAACTTGCTCATTTTGCAGTAACATACAAATTGTTCACTTGAGAATATAGAAATTATTGGACTTAAAAAATGTGTACCCTGATTTTGAAGCTGAATAATTACTGTATAATAAACCCTTCTAGTGACTGGAAGTGTTTCTATCATTTTTCGCTGTAAAATTATAGGTAAACATTTTTTAACTACACTAATTTCTATGTTCAAGTTGATAATTATTATGTTACTTCAAGACGGGCAAGTTAATTTCAAATATGATTTTTTTGACTTTTGGTATTTTGCATGGGACAATACATATTGCCTTATTATTGTAATATATTGCAAATCCCTAAAGGTGGTTCTTAATGATTTCATTTAAACTGATGAAATATGAAAATCAATAATTAGAAAATGGCTTTTGAAATCCCTTAAGTGCTGCAATAACACAAAATACAATTCCTATGATAAGGTTAATGTAGCATTCAACATTACATGTAGCATTGCAACTTATTAAATTATTATATTTGACAGCGAATAATTCTGTCTTGACCGAGATATTCTTGAATTTTTTAAACTAAGGTCAATTTAACTGAAGGATGTTCATCTCGAGACATCATAGGTTTCATATCTGGCATTGACATTCTACGCATCGCAAGCTTTTACATGCTTGACTGATTTTGTTTTATTTGGTCGCTCACAAAAAGCAAGGCAACTTAAAAAACCCTACCTTCTCTGTTGTTGTATAAATCATATGCTCAACGCTGTGCACCGGCTTTATGGAGGCTGTACTTGCAATAGAATTGGGTTGTCAGTAATGGAATTATCTGATAATAATTTTTTTATTATCATATATGAAAATATAATTTTTATCTTATTTTATTTATTTGTTTTTTGGTTGGTCTGTCAGACCCTTTCCAATTCATTCATTCATTCATTCATTTATTTGTGAGTCCTATTATTTTTACAGGTTAGTTTATCTTTGAGGTCGTGTTTCTCATACAGGTACACCTTCAATTCAAATCTCTGGATTTTGTTATTCTAGGGAAGCCATTCAAAAAATCCAAATTAAAGTTTAAATGTGATCTGCCCTAATATAATATGAACTCAGTTTTTGATTTTCTAACCATGCGACTCATTTTGTGGTGAGACCTCGCATTTATTTAAAAAAAAATTTAATTCTTATTTTGCTTTAAAGTCTTTAAAATCTACAGCATCTGCAGAAGCAACACCGTCATCAACCAACCTAGTATATCTGACATATGGCCGCAAACTCAACACGCTTTCTTTTTAATCAATTTTCTTGTCATAAACAGAATAAAATCAGCATACATTTTAAAAACATTGACATTTATATCAAGATTAAGACCTCAAATATGAATATTTAATGCAGTAAAAAATATTGAACTTTTTAAAATATATTTTTATCTCACAGACCAACCTTTGGTAAAGTTGTAAATTTAGAAGGTGATGAATACGTAGACGCCATTGATAATGAGAACGCTATGGTTACGGTTATGGTGCATATTTATTTGGACGTAAGTATAATTACTAATTTTAAACTCGTTTTACTTCATAGACTGCATACATCGGCCTTCTGCCTGAATACTGACTAATATAATAAAAAGCTATGAAAAGTGTAAAATAATATAATAAAATAAATGAAATATTAGAGTATACATTAATAAATTGAATAATAATTATAATACTGGTCTCCTTCTAATTAAAAACCTTCCAATGAAAAACCACCTCCAATTAAAGACTACTTTTATATGGTCCCATATTGACAAATGTCTTTTATTATTATTATTCTAATATGGGTAAACATTAATAAAAAAAATTTAAAAAAACGCAATATATTCAGTAGTGTTGTTGTTCTCTTTCTTGTTCCATTAAAGTGCTGCCTTTATCTTTTTGAAGGGTGCGCGACTTTCTACAAGGTCATGTGTGTTTGTGTTCGCCACTTTGAAACCATGTTGATTGTATTTTTTTGGATGTGTTTTTAATCTTTACTTAACATCTTTTACTTCCTTATCTATTACGCTTTCTCATACGATCTCATCTCTTGTTTTGCAGTACTTACTAATATTTAATTGTTCTTGTTGTATACGATATATGGATTTTGTCATTTTAGGTATTATTATAAACATATTGTTGCGGGTGAGCTGCCTAGGCATCTTTTTTGATGTTCGACCTTGAAATCTAATGGCCATTACCGTACTACTATAGAACCCCGAGGGCCTAGCTTACCTTGAGTATTTTTTCTGGAATGCTTTCATGGGCATCTAAATTGTCAACGGAATATGAAATATATACACCATAGAGCGCCACAAGCAAGGAATTTAGCAATGGCGCCATATAATGGAACGATTGATTGATTAACGGAAAGTGCTTATGTTCGGTTGAATTAATAAATGGTAATGACCAATATATATATATATATATATATAT